CGGGCGAAGCTTTAATCATATGAACTCAGATGCTATGAAATCCCTGATGATGGATATATTCAACACCACGTAACTTGATTTGAGAGGCTAAACTATATTAATTTAATAATTTTAGAAGTTCTGGATACGGAGAAGCTGCTTTGAAACAACTCCCTCATCGATCAACGATTCAGGCGCACTCGGAAGCTCTCTCCAAGGATCTCGTGGAAAAATCCTTACGATACATGGAGCCTTACAAAGGAGAAATAAACTTGGCAGTGGATCAATGAAAATTNATNGNNACGGCCCGGCCTTATTTTTGTAGTTGAAAATTCGTATGCTGGGTAATTTTATTATCTTTTTTTGAATCTTTTTTCATTTTCGAGATATGCGCCTTTGAAGATAGCGTGTTCTGTCTTCGGGCGTCACTCACAGGTAAAAAGGCGCGCCAACTTTAAAGGCGCAGATCTCGAAAACTACAGTAGCTAGAAAAAAATTTTCAACTACAAAAATAATGCTTGTTTTATTTTGTATATTAGTCCACACTTTTGAAATAGTCCAAGGCCATCAAGTTCCTAGTTCACGGCCACCAAATAGTTCGAGTTCTCTTATCTCCTTCCCCGTTTTCTTTAAAAAGTTCCCAATGACCATGATTTCTGTTTTCCAAGGGTAGTATAATAAGGTCGACCTGAACTATTTAAATTTTCTATAATAATTGTTTGGTGCTTGATCAAAACAGACAAGAATGTAGTAGTTTTGCAGAACAAAAAATAATCGTTTTTCCTCTATCAACAACTTTGACCCACTTCATCTCGGTTCTTGTAAAAGATATCAGAAAGAGATAAACTGACACAATAATTGTGATATTTTGATAAACATTTTGTTAGTTGACCACTTTTTGATATCTTTTACAGGGATCGAGATAAATTGTCTTAAAGTTTAGGCTATTTTTTTTTTTTTAATTTTCTCTCGGACCGGGCCGGTCCGGGCCGAGAGAAAATTTTCAGGGCCCGGCCCGGCCCGGCTGCCCGGCAGAAAAAAAACAAAATTTTTGAAAAATGAATTTAAACAGCCGCCATTTTTGTCAAAGCGATAAACAACGCGAATGCGGAATTTCGGGGCAAATTCTCTTATGCAACCATCTCTTATACTACTTTTCTCTTATACTACCGAGTCTCTTTTACTACCACTGTCTCTTATACTACTTATTTTCAATGTGTCTCTCATACTACCAAGTCTCTTTTACTACCAAGGTCTCTTATACTACTTTTTACACCAGAGTCTCCCATACTACCAAAAGAAACAAGACTTTCGGCCTAAGCCTATAGTTGGCGAAAAATTTAGGGGGTACAAGGGGGTACAACTGATTTAGGGGTACAAAATTGGTGATTCGAGGGTACAAAATTCGTAGGTACAAAAATTCGGGGGTGAAAACTACCAATGATTCTGGGGTACAACTCATTTCATTTAGGGGTACAACGCTTGTGATTCGGGGGTACAGTTTTTTTAAAGGAGTTTCTGCATTCCTGCATTTCAGAGCTTGAAAATCTCAGAATTCTTAGAATTTCGGAACTTCAGAAACTGAGAATCTGAGAACTTCCGAATTTCAGAATCTCAGAATTTCAGGACCTCAAAACCTCAGAATTTCAGAACTTCAGAATCTCAATATTTCTGAATTTTCAAAAATTACGGCAGAAAATGTTCACTTCTCATTGTCTTTTGATTGTTCTTTTTGATTTTAATGTTTAATTTAGGTTTTAAAACCCAGTTCATTGATTTTTAGAATGTATTGAAAAATAACTCGAAGAAAAAAAACACTGAATACCTTTTTTCGAAACAATGATTCAACTTTTTGCTCAAGATTTTGAAGTTCGCGGTAAACTTCCGGGCCGACCGGGCCGACCGGGCCTCCGGGCCGGGCCGGGCCGGTGAAATTCGTGTTTCGGCCCGGCCCTTCACAAGTTAGGCAGATAAAGCCTCTTTTATGCTGGTTGCAGACGTCATCTTCTTGTGTTTGGTGGGTTTTTTGTCATCAATCTTTTTTCCGGTCGGAGCATCCTTTTTATGTTTTTTGTCCTCTTTCCTGCATCTGGGTTTGTCGATCCATGATTTTTGGATCAACCTATAAATTAATCAAATTTTTTTTTAATTTAAAGATTTTTGATATCATAACACTTAAGGTAATTAAGCCACTTGCTTTCAGATATTTTTATCTCAAAAACTAAAACAGCTATCAAAAACTAGTTAATCACAAAATGTAGTCCATAAAATTTCACATATTTTATCGGTTGACAAAGTTTTGTATCTTCTGTAGTTTGGGAGGAATGCGCCTTTAAAGTTGGTGCGCTAGAGGCGTATGCGAAGGAGAGACGCAGAGAAAAAAAATTGTGTGCGTCAACTTTAAAGGCGCATATCTCAAAAACCATGAGAGCTAGAAAAAAGTTGCTAACTAGCAAACTATGATAAATTTGATTCTATATACGTTACTAATTGACGACTTTTTGTAGCTTGTTCAGTTTTGGAGATATGCGACTTTAAAGAGAAAATGCGCTGCGTGCTACTGACACAGGTTTTTGATATCTATCATAGAAATTGAGATAATTGAGCTCGAATAATCCAGTCTTTGTAACTCTCTCACCTCATTATTCTGATCTCCGTAACTATTCTGAATGCGCGTTTTTGTAGACATCTATTTTTCGGTCGTCATTCGTGAAGCTGTCTAGTACTACGGGGATTATCAGCTTCGAAATTTTAAATTTGGATTGGGGAGCTCAAAATTCAAATTTTGCTGATCTACTGTATGAAAATTCAGAATTCTCAATTCAGACTTACAGAATTTTAAAGCTCAAATGTTCACTCACCTTAAAGCACACCAAGCACATAGATTTCAAGAAAAATATGCAGAAAAATAGAAAAGTATAATTCCAAAACCCATCCAACTATAGGGTTTACTGAAAAAAATTCTAGAACAATAGATTTTCAGAAAAATATACAGAGATCATTCCAAAATCCTTTCATTTTTAGGATTTTCTGGAAGGTTCCATATTTAGACGTCTATTCAGTCAAGTCGTCATGATGCAAAGTGATTTTGAATAGCAACAAATGCATATATGCGACGTGTTTTTTGTTCTCTGCTTCTCTGGAGTCTCTTATCAATCAGACCTGCGTCTCCATGAGTTTTGATTGTCGCTTGGAGTTTCGGGTGATGAAAATGACTCAGAACTGAAAATGACTCACTAGGGAAGGTTGTTTGTGGGGTATGGGACTTCGTTATGAGACCTATATCATTCGAAAGCTGAAAATGAGACATTTTCAAAAATGTAATTCGATTTTGCTGCAGACTTACCATATTCGAG